GTGGAGATGGCAGTGAAAATTGTTAATCGCCCTGTCAAAGACTAATTTATCACTGATCAATCACTAGCACGGATGGACAGTGAAGTCCTATCCGCTAAACAAACATTAAACATCAAATGTCGTGCCCTGTGAGTTCACCCATGCGATCGAAGCTGATTTGCTGCAAGGAGGCGGTATATCGAGGAGGAGCTGCCTTAGCCAAGCATTTTCCAGATGTTGGCAGGAGACAGCATGAAACATGTTTTTATTGAATATGGGATTCCACCCGCACCGATCTCAGATTTCCTGTTGCATCATTCCGTGACTCAGGAGTCAAAATACCCTAGGGACGTATATATATATATATAAGGATGTAAAAGGAAACGTTGTTCCATCAACTGGTTCATGCTGCTTCTGTGTCTTCCAAAGTCCCGTCATAGTCCCCTAAACCATCTTCCCGCCCATGTTGATTGATGGACAACGGCTGTCAACAAGTGCCCCGCTTTCCACGCACCACAAAATCGGCTAGTTGGGCGGCTATGTCGAGTATGTCAACTGGTAACTGATCCATTCATGCTGTGGAACCCAGCAAGATATTTTGGCTTTCAATTGCTTTTTACCCGGCATCCCCCGCGTGATCTTGTTGGCAAGGTAACGGACTCCAACTGTAGTATGTACCTTTACGAGCCCTTGACCGTTCCACACAAGCCACCATCAGTGCCCTAAAGGGCGTGAGTCGCCTAACAGGAACAATCGGTTCATGCGTCGCTCGTACATGTGGCATTGGCCATTGTTAATTTGACCCTCACGCAGCGATGTCCAATGTGTGCCAACTCTCCAAGGAGCTTCAACAGGCGTTCCTCCTGCATGTTCGAGGTCTCTTCCTCTCGTACAGGGACCTGGGTCTGTCAAACCTTTCCACATTGACATGTGGTAAACAGGTGCAAATGGCAGCTATGCCAGCGCCATGAATGTCAGCCTACCATCTGGACCAAGGGCTCCTACCGCGGGGTTTGGGAAAATCCGCGTGGAGTAACTTATTGTCGCTCTTTTGGCTGTTTGTATTCTGGGAAAGAGACCACAACTCCTGGAAAGGGTTGGGGCAAAGCATTTCTTCCTTTGGTGGGAGATGATCGACTAGTGCTGAGCCGTCCTGAGTCGCGTGCCGTTCCATCCCACCAAGGAATGTTCTTCTGCTCCTCAAACTTCATCCGGGCCTGCTCCTTGGAAGGAGCTGAGAGGGGTTTCCCAACGGTGACCATCAACAGGACTCACTGAGTCATTGGCACGGAGAAGAGCAAACCCAGCCTCATGACTCATCATGCCTCATCTAGCTCCACTAGATCTCATCAGTTGCCTAGTGTTCGACGGGAAGCTGCCAGGAAGTTGCTCCGGTCCACTACATTCTCGTTCGATGGTGTCCCCTGCTTTGTACTCGTAAATAAGACTACTCGTTTGAAAGCACACAAGATGTCGCCAAAAAGTGTCGTCAAATCTATGAGCACTGAAAGCTCCGAAGATCTTATAATTAATGTACACGCATAGTTGGTGTATGTTGGTGTATTCCATTGATAGTTGCAGTTTGTCAGTGTAATTAAAATTAGTGTGTTAGTGGTATGATTGTTCATGGACTTCTTTTGGAAAACAGGAGTACTACATGAATATATTGTAGATCTATGTATGGAAACACAAACATGTATGTGGAAAAACAAAAACAATCCCCGTTCAGATTTGCATGTTCGACCTAGGATAGGTCATTCTGTGCTACAAAACAGTTTCCCCAACATAGGGGACTACAGAATGCATGCCCCGCAAGTTCTTTTTACTACTAAATGACCGGCCCTTGGCCATTAAATTACAGAATGCCTGACCCATTGGCCAGGTTCTTGATATCCTGGATGTAAAAAAAGGGGTGTGATCACTACAAAATGACAGTCCCAAAGATCAGATTTCCATGGACGCGATGTTCAAAAACAGACGCCTGAGTTTGTAGGCCACATCATTCTGTAACAAAGCTTCACTGAAGCCAATCTTTGGCCAAGCTCTTCCATTACAAAATGCACAAATCTGAAGATACTCTGACATAGCCATTGAAAAGGGCCATATTGTAGTGTTGGCCAGCAGTGCTCAACCGTTACAAAATGAAGACTCCCAAATCGCCAATCCCCTTGGTCATAAAATATGTCTGACCATGTAAATCCTTTACAACATGGAGAGGCCATGGGCGTCCAACTGTCGACAGGTTAAAATCCTTACAAAATGCAACCACGCTATACATCAACAAAACGCATACGTTATGAATCCTAGGTCCACCCATTTGGTAATGGAAATGTTAACGAGGATCAAAAACAAACAACTGGAGATTGATTGCCCATGTATGTGTTCAGCATTGTAAGTTCAGCACGTGCTGCGCAGCATGTTGCGCACCAATGCGGAAGATCCACAAAGCATCTCTCCCCAAATCATAGTCATAAGACTGCTGTGGATGCTCGTTGATCCAACAACTTAACAGTCCTAACAATAACTGTAAAACCCAAAGATTTCTGGATGACTTCAGTCTCAAATATTCTCAAGTAGCCTGGACTCTTGAATCCAAAGTAGTCTGGACATCTTAGGAATTCAGGACTTTGGGAGATACAAGTATGATTCCTGGGAATGCTTGTGAGCGATGGCCCAGTTGGAACAGTCCAACATCTGAAAATTCTGGTGCGCAGTGCTTCTCAGTATGTTCCAAGCTCGAACAAATGAATTCATTGTTTCTTGTTCATGTATAATGATGTATTGTGTGTATTTAATTATATGCGCTTTTTCTGACTCTATCATGTCAATGTCAAGAGACACTACGTTTATGAACAAGCTGAACCAGGCATGGTCAATGGCTCTGTTTGTCCTTTGCCATCTGAAGTATCCAATGGTTGTTCATGTCTGTTGTTCATTTGCAGCATTATGCAGCATTCAATTTCTCAAGCCAAATTTGATCTAGGTTGGTTTGCCCTTCTGCATGTCTACTCTAGGAGGGTACAAGCGGGACCGGGCATCAGCCCATCTCAAAAGCACGGACTTCGAAGATGGGAGAAAGTTGATAAAACAACATCTACCAGCCACATTCGAAGGCGGCACTCTAAGGATGATGTTACACTCATTGTAAGTAACACATCCCCGATAATAGCCCACACGTGCCTCCAGCAACTATTCGGGACACCTGCTTCAACAACTTTAAATCTAATTATTTATATATACATAATTAATTAACTATAATTTATTATATATGTTCTTTCTAAACTCTAAACATACCCTTCTGGAATATGCAAACACATGGACAAAAGGACCCTCTTGACAATAAATAAAGCTACTTGTACTTTTGGAACACTTGCTTCTATGAGAAGGCGTTTGCCACATTTCTTTACATGATATATATATAATATGATACGTATAATATGTATTTTCATGCATTTTTCGTTCAAGGAATTCTCTTGAGCCACTTGCTTCCATATAAACAAGGGCTTTTTCCCACATTCGTGTACAATCACAGTACTTCAGTCTACCCTACCATATCTAAAAAATAGGTACATATCTAATCCAGGCGCCTCAATGATTCAATGGAAGTTGTCCTGAGACCTGAACATGTTCTACTTGCACTAGTTTTGAGAAGTGAGAAGTGGTTCATTCTTAGTGTTGTTTCCAAAAAGGGGGGTCGGTTCTTCCTTGAGATCACAAAGTATGTCTTCAAATGTAAATACATTACATTTGTGATGCAGTTGCGTTGTAAGAGTTCAGCTCGCACAAGTATCAATTCAATGATTTTTGGAACAGGCGGTTGCATATTTTACATATTGCATCTGAATGAGTTTAAATTTACAGTACATGTGAACAAATCTCTTTCGACCGTTCATCACAAATCTAAGGAGGTGTTACAGAAGAGCTCACTCAATGTGAAGTGGGCGTTGTACGGTCCAAAAGGGAGCGTCTTGACACGCCTTGCGATTAACCACTGTCGTCTGGTGCCCAAGGCTCAATGTCTTTCCTCAGAGCTTTTCTGGCTGCGATGTAGCCAGAGCGCTCCTGAGCAGCACTGAATTTGATGGCTTAATGATGCCATGCGGGTGTGAGAGACACATCTACTGTTCCACATGTCCACTTGATGGTTTTGGATGCCAATGGTTCATGGATGTTCATGGTGAATCCCGGTCCTCCTTGGGCCTCCACTTCAGCCCATGCATGACCTGCCACCAAAAGGACAGGACGGGGTGGGGCTATGGACAGAAGCTGTTTGAACGGACGGAACATACCCGAACCCGCGATGAGAATATTCTGGAATCATGTCCCCTGGGAAACCTTGAGACAAACGGAATTGGTGGTCAAGGCCACATGGCTGCCACCTATTACTGATGGGTTTGCCATTCCTTTTGCCACGTCCATCGGTCCGACTGAGCAGCCCTCAAGTACTTCTTGGACCCTACTGTGTCTGCGTTGCATGCTGCAGTGCCACTGCTGCCAGCAACTAGCGTTGCAAGTGCTGATGCCGTGGCCTTTGTCGCTGTCGCTGCTACCGTGGCTGGTCACGAGCCCTGCTGCTTGTTGATCTCGAAGACTTCTAGTGCTGGGCTAAACCATATAAACATGTTGCGAACTTGGACTGAGCCTTGAGAGAAAACAATACAGTCCTTTACTTCGTTTTTGGTCAGCCCCACATTGCAGCATGACAAGCAGGTCTTTGGAGTGTCTTACCAACAAAGTAGTCAGTCACTGGTCCCCGACACCAAGGCCCTCCAAAACCTCCTGCCCTGTGGACCCCGACCTCAGTACTTTGTACCGTGGCCGCTGGTGCTAGCGAAAAATGCCGCTACGGTCGAGCCCAAACGAGATGAAGAGATTCCGCTGCAGGCGAGTCATGAACCTGCTTCGGCTGATGCAATCCGGTATCACATCGTATTCTGAGAATCCTTAAGGTTTCTGATACCTATCCGTCAGGATCCATCTGACCTCCGGCACCTGTGAAAACTGGCAGAACACGGGCGCACCAGCAAAAACTCCACTTCCAAGTAGGGTGCCAGCCCTGTGGCCACCTGAATTTGAAAGACTGGGCCCAGGTGGCAAAACTTATCCGACTGAACACCTGAATTGGACCGCGGAGCGGACCGCCGAACTCTACCGGGCGGAGGGATAGATCCAATAGTCTGCGCCCCACATGGACAACTCGTTACTACTAGTAAGGCACTTGTTCCTAGTAGCGTGGCACTTGTTCCTGGTAGCTTCTTGTTACTACTAGTAAGGCAATTCTTGAGTGCCAATTTCCCACTGTACTTCAAAAGGAGGGTCTAGCCGCTAGCCTTGCCTTGCCACAATTCTTGCGGTCCATCTGGATATAGGAATTCAACAAACTGATTTCTCTATCTCCCTCTCTCTCTCTCTCCTTTTGCGATTGGTGGTGGTGAGGAAATAAAGGCCACAATGAGTTCAGAATCTCTCAAGGCTGTGGACGTCCACGAGTACAATCTGGGGCTCGAGCATCTGCCAAGCAGGTGGCAACAAGAGGGCAATTCTGCAGACGAACACAAAACAAGCGAGGTGTTGATCGTTGAGACCTGGAACCATGATCCATGGATCGTGGGAGAACTGGAGCAGGTAACTCGAACCACAGGGCCCAAATGAACAAGCGCAGCTAGCGTGGCTTGCTTACTGGTGAACCTTTGCAAAACAACCATATGCAGCCACATTTTCAACAAACTTGGAACATCACAGTTCCAACTGTAAACATGTTCTGAACGGAAAGGTCGCGGGAATATTGTGGAATACTGTAAGAGGGCAAAGAAAAGGATGCATGAGTCAACACTCCATGGGTTTAACATGTGTTGATTGAAATGCCAAAACATTGTAGCGGTTCTCCATCGTTCTCCACCCTAGAAATCTCCTGTTGGATCTGGGACATCCAATAAATGCAGGACCTTCGTCTTTTGGCGCCTGCAGGTCCGGATCTGCCTTTGCAGCTGTCACCTAGTCAGCAGTGGCAAATCCGCTCCGGATGGTGTGAGGCAATGGGAAAAGGGAACACATCCTCGGTCCATGTTCGGTCCGTGACAGTTCAATATGATTCAATGATCAACATACCATAGGTTGGAGGCCATCCCTGGTAGGTTGGAGGCCATCGCTATTAACATATCTCAGCACCGATGAACGCAAACAGTGATGAGTTAAGGACTGACCCAAGAGCAACAACCAACCCATCTAAAGCGCCAAGGCACCAGTGCGGGTGGGGTAGTTTTGGGAGATTAGCTTGGCAGGGTGTGTCAAATCAATTGACAACGCCAGAGGTCAGGGTAGAGAGCGTCGCTCAAATCGGGTACGTCCGATTTGCCCATGTCAATTGGACAATTAGAAAACTTGGTTGCACATATTTATCTGACATCGTTGGTTGGAAGGGACATGTTATGGATAAATCCGCAGGCTGCACATGGGTCGGAACTGCGAAGTCCAAGGGACAAACCCATGATCTCCGAATCAGCCGCTCCCTTTGACAGCACAAAAATTCAAACAGAACGAGGACTCCAAGCAAGTCTGCAAGTCTTTTAAAATTGAAATGTTGTTCTGTACAGGAAATGAGCCCAAAAAAAGTCTACAACAGCTAGAAACATGTTGTGTATTCTAAAAGATGGTCGCAAACTTCACGCTGATGCATAGCCTACCTTTTCACAGCGTGCTCACGTCGATTTCCAGGAAACCCACCAACATCACCGCACTCACTGCTGCAATGCTGCAGAACGTCATCTGGTTGTTCAAAAACAAATCCGCCGACCCCGTTCTAGTACCCAGAGCGTGAGCGTGAGCGGAACGGGGACGGCGTGCTCCTGAGAATAGTTCGGTATCGGTATAGTCCTGGGGCTTGGCAATCAGTCATCGCTTTGCGCAAAATCGACAGATTATCGACAAATGTTCGACATTGTTCATGTTCTACGTGCAGTGGGGGGTGTCCAGGCCGGGGTCCCGGGTTCGAGTTCGACTCCACCCTGCGCATCCCCTGGGCCTCATTTAAAAACATGCCGGACCCAGTCTTGCATACTGGTACCGCGGCCCCCCTCAGCAAAGACAAGGCGCCGGGGGGCGAGCCGCGCGCGCGCGGTACCATGCGGAGATACCTAGGAAATCCTTGTGACCAAAAATACAATAATACTTGGATGGGGTACCATGTGGGCTATGTATACAGCTGAAAACAACGAAGCAGTCACACTGCGCCGAACCTGGCTATTCCCTATACTTGAACCTAAAAGTCTTTTGAAGTAAGGATCCTCCCGAAGCAAGGGCCACGTACTTTTTCCGAGACACTAGTTGTGACTTGATTGCATTTTTTTATGTACAGTATGCCACTTGAAGGGTCCAAATATATACGTCTAGTATACATATATGCACATAAACAGAGCAACAGACATAATCTCATTCAGAACAAAAGAAGGCTAAAGATTCAAACGGATTCCAAAGAAAACATGAGGTTCACATTGTTCACATCCAAAGAATGAAAACATGTCGGATGTTCATGACCCAATGTTCTTCATGACGCCAGGCGATCGCCTGGTTGGGAATCATCAGGTACGACAAGGCGGCAAAGTTGAAAGACCGTTTGGAGGAGGCGCTGTTTTTGCTCGAAAGCCGGCGAAACGCTGGGGCCGACCCGGCTGGCCCTTGATCCACCGATCCACCCACGAAAAGGCTTATTGGAGATTCACCCCGAAAAGCCAAGGGCCAAATTTGTGGCTTGATTGCACACAAGACTCATCTCTCTGTATGTCTCACATGTCTGCCTCTGTTTCTGCCTTGCGAGCCGCCAAAGCCCTCCCGCACTCTTCCTCCGCCCGCGGCCGCTCTGGGTCGGCGGCCGCTGGCGGTAGCCGCTTAAATATCTTAAATATATATATAATTATGCCACAAAAGTGCTGCTATGTTTTGAGTGTAATACCGTGCGCCGAAACCTGCTCCGGAACCTCCTCCGAAGCCGGCTCTGGAACGCTCCAGAACCTCCTTCGGAACCTCCGGACCTTGCTCGGAACCTGCTCGGAAACCTGATCCACAACTTGCTCCAGAACCTGCTCTGGAACCCTCCAGAACCTGCTCCGGATCTTGCTCCGATCTGCTCCGAAGCCTATACTACGGCTGAAGACCCCGAGAGCTTCGCCGTCGAGGAAAAATATTGTCGACCTGGAAAAGTACAAAGCAACTAAAATCTCAAGACCTTACAAGAGAGATCAAGAGAGGGTGATTGCACGTCCTTAGTGTTGGCAATTTTCTGCAAAAAAGATTTCAACACCAATTTGCAAGAACACATGTCTTGTGCCTGTTGAGGTATCGGACTTTTTTTGGGCTGATGAAAAGGGTGCTCTCGTCGACGTCAAACACAGTCTCCACAGGTTCCAGCGAGAAAATCGGCACCACAGGCTCCAGGTGCCTGAGGTACTCGTAGCTCAAACGGCTGGAAGGAACGTTGCGCCAAAGGTGGCCCAGCAAAACTGATTGATTTCATGCAGTGCATACAAGCGGTCAATTTGAGGTACCACAAAACAGAATACATATCACTGTAGCTCTCTAAATCACTCTTTGTTTCGACCTAGAGAGGACAAGTACAATGCAGTAGATGACTAAGACGTGCATGGGAAAGAAACATGTGCAAACATTGTTGGATATAAGTTGGAACCCCTGAAACATGTACATGTACATTTCAAGGGGGTTGGCAAACAGAGTGATTACAATAAGCTGTGCAATAGACAAGTACCATGCAGTGGATAAACGAGAGAAGTATATTGAAAACCAACAAATTGCAGGCATTGTTGAATTTAAATATGAGCTGGACCCCTGAAAAATGCACGACTTCAATGGGGTCAAACAAATTCAGTGATTACACCAACTTTGCAATAAGCATGATGACCTAGAGACGACAAATACAATGCAATGATGAATGAAACTGATTGTGATGAACATGAACGGAGGCAAATGCCAAGCATTTTTCTTTTCTGACAATACCTGTGCCACGGCACTAGACATATGAGATAAATGTCCTTCACACACATTTAGATAACTTTCAAGCGCCTAGTTGTTTTTCAGTTTCACAACCGTATCCCGTTTGCGGCAAGCACTTGCCCACTAAAGCCGGTCTACTCTACTCATGCGTGGAACACTTGGGCCACCAGATCGGTCGCAACTTGAAAGCCACCAGTTCTTTGCAGTGTCAACAGCAGGCACTGTCTTGAAAGGCGTCACTGTCTTGAAGGTAAAGAAACAACACAGCAAGCAACAAGTGATGCCTATGTCGAATCTGATTGATTGATTGATTGTGTGATTGATTGATATCCTCGGTTGTCCTTCCACAACCCAATCTCCGCATTTCAACATCTTCTTGCGTGATGCCAACAACAGTCCAGGATACTGCAAATGTCAAAACATGTGTGGCTACTAATTATATATGCTAACCTACTTTCCCAGCCTTGAAAGTAAGACGTTACAGAGTCGTGAGGTGCTACTCGAGGCCCTGGCCACCCTGTCAGAGGTGACATGTGACCTACACTTTCAGCGAAGTTCTTTGCAGTCTATGCGTTTCTAATTATACCTCTAAGAAAAAACTGTTTGCATTCTTTTAACACACACTCACTGAGTACACCTGTTATAGACTTATAGAACACATCCTACAGCGCTAATCACCTTCATCAGTTTCGAACCATTGCTGCAACATGAAAGAGGTCCATGTGTCGGGTTGCATGGTCCTCTGGGTTCAACATAGGCCTTTCAGAAATAAAAGTGAGGTAGGTGTAGTCAAGAGCACCCTACTGACCCCCAGCAATCATGGATGTGTAAACTTGCTGTGGAAGACGGCTTTCATGATCCTTTATCTGTAAGCAGTGGGTTTTACCATGGTCTTCCACTTCGATGATTGTGCCCAAACAAGCTTTGACTCAAGCGCTGGGAAAGTCCGGAGCTTGCCAGTTGTTCCTTGCAAACATTGAATTTGAATACGTTGATCTGATAGTCACTGGCAGTAGGGACTCACAGCGATCACTGCTTCGCTGTCATTCAACTCACCTTAACCGGACTACTGCTCAGATCTGGTCAGTGTCACAGGCGGCCTCTCATCTCCGTAACAACTTCAAGCCCGGCCTTGTCATTTTTGGGAACGTTCTCCTTCGTTGATGGTGCGAACACCCTGCAACTGCTCTGCAGCTGCCGAAGGGCATAATGAAAGAACAATGATCGGACCCTTGGCATTTGACATGTGGCCACATCCTTGAGACAACATCCTACACATCTTTGCAGCCTGTCCCTGTTGCACAACCCTTCCAGCTGCTCTGATGAGTATCCAAGCCCTCGATGGACCCAACTGTTGGCACAATGCAATCAATGCTTGTGAGCATGCAAAGAATTGGCCTCAAGGGAACGCCTCAGCTCAAAATACCAAAGCCCAATGCCTATTTGCCCGTGGCAAGAGGCACTGAGACATACGTAATGTTCCACTGCGAGGGCAGAAATAAAACATTCGCATGCCAAGGAAACTAGGAAACTCCAAGGATGCACGGTATTGCTTGGAGATTCAGTCTTCAAGGAACCAACAATGCCGAAGGTGCCATACAGTTTGAACGTGTTCAAAGACAACATGGCTTTCCACTGAACAGTTGTGGATCTGTGATCATCTGTGATAGTTTTCAGGAGTGTTGTAACAATTTCGCCCGTTCAATGTGGTGAAGCTGGACATCTTTTGTTCTACTTTGGTTGCCTTGCTCAGTGGCCCATCCAACCACCTGGAACATAATTATGGTCGTATTGTGCTGACATTGCGATCGCTCAAGATTTCGCTTCACACAGTACCAACACCGATGGAATATAAGTTAGAACTATTTGTAGGTACGATTGATTGAATTCACGAAACGACAACCGCATTTGGTGGACATTTTGAGATCTGGCGTTTGAGCTGCTGGATTTCCACCAACTCCTGCATTTCTAGCACCATGAAATTCTGGGAC